CCTGTTGTGAAGGCATAGCTGGGAACACAGGATCTGTGCCGTGTGTGTGCCATTTTGCAGCATTTATGGGAACTTTACCTCTGTGGGCCAGATTGGTGAACCTCAGGCATGTTTCTGCTAAAAGATCCCGCTCAAAATGCAGTGTGTTCAGCAGACAAATACCACAAGAGGGCAGTAAAGATCCGCAAGTAAAAGTTCCCATGAAAACCTGCACACCCGGCAGCGATGAACCGGCGCCTGCATCTCGATTCCTTTTCGACGGATGTGAAGACGGGATTACCTCTCGGCCCGATTGCTCTGTGGTTCTAGGGACTCATCGGGGCACTGGCAAGGCAAGCCGTCCGGGGGTTTCTCTGGGTCTCCGCCCTTCCTGCACATTTCACATGCGCTCTGCTTCCTCAGAGCCGAGAACTCCCCGCTCTGCGCAGTGTCGTCGGCTGTCAGGAAAACCGTTCACTGTGGCAGCCCCTGTGAGTTCATGTGGCTTCTGACCCTGCCGCAGCCAACGCGGCCAGTGCAGTGTGAACTCCGGGGGAGCGTTCCCAGCAGGGAAAGGGTGTAGGATTCAAAAAAAAAAAAAATGACTAAGTGCCAAAAATACTCCGGCGGTCACGTGCCGCGGCCAGGTCTGCTCACTTAGGGCTTTCTCTAGGGTGGCAGCCACCCGCGTGCGCGGCCGGCTCCCGGGTAGGAGAAAGACAGTCTTTTTGCAGACGGGAAAACTTAGAAAGGGTGTTGTTTTTGGTCTGTACCCTCATATGAGCCTGGGCTCTTAGCAGCTGGGCAGGACGAAGGGCAGCAGCTTCCCAGGACCCGTTCCGCAGGTGAGACAGGATCCGTTTAGCTCCTGTCCTGTGACGACCACCGGCCCGCCTAAGACGCGTGTCAGCGTTCACGGGACAGCTCTGGACGGTGGGGGAAGACTGGGCTGGTTGAAGGAAAGCAACAGGGCCGGGTCGCCAAACGCATATAACGCTCAGTCCGGTCCAGGAAGAACCAAGCGCCCTGTTTCCCACGTTGGGCAGAGTCCTGACATGTCACAGGTCCCACCTTTCTCCTTAAGAGTGTGACTCGGTTGCCATGACAGAGGCCCGCGGCTTCCCCTGAATTTGTTTCGACAGCGGCAATAGTGTAAGTGGATGTGCCCCGAAAACTCTCCCGTTAGGAAGACTACTTGACGTGGTTTCCGTTCCGTTTCCACTCCGCTGAGCAAGTGCAGCTCAAGCCACGCCATCCGGCTGGGAGGCAGCTTTTCCCAGGACTAGTCAGCACACCCAGCGTCGTGGAGCAGCCTGAACAGTAATTTAATTCAAGTGCATCCGAGGTTCTTCATCGTTGCTGTTCTGATAAGTTAGCAATGAGATGCAGATGTTTCATTTCAATCTAACTGCAAATGAGGAGGAGTCGTTCGAGAACCGGCATGGTGTAGGGTCAGGGTAGAACGTCAAGGCAATCATTCTGCCTTTTAAAACGTTTTCTATTAAAAAGAATTGCCTTCCGTGTATACACATTTATCTATTTGTTCTGAAAGTATTGAGGGCCACCAGGCCCCAGGCTCTGCTGGGCGCCGGAGATGCATTGGTGAGCAGAACAGATGAGGCCCCTGGGCTCCTTCCAGTGGCGGGAGAAAGAGAAATATATGACATAATCGGTCATGAGGAGATCGTGAGGGAACACACACCGCAGGAGCGGGACGGGGCCCCGTTGAACCGGGCGGGTGGGCAAGCAAGCACAGGCTCGAAGCATCACCGGAGCAGGACGGGAACACGCCCTGGGCCTGTGTGGGTCAGAGGAAGCCGAAAGTGCAAGGGCCCTCCGGCCATCCGCAGGGTTAGATGTTCCAGAAGATGGAAGATGAGCCAGAGAACGGCAGGCGTTTTATTGACCCCGGCTGCGCGCCCCAGGAGGCTAGGACGGCCACGAAGTAGCATGCCCTTAACCCGTTGCCCGGTTACTGAGGGGGAGGTAATAGAAGTCGTGACTCGTGGCTTGTTAGAAATGCACGGCCTGTGTTCCATTAACGGAATCACTGAAACGCCGCCCCAGTGCCTCTCCGGTTGTCGTCTGCAGAAACCACGTGGTTTCTCTTCACCGATGTTGCAGTGGCCGCAGGTGGATACGTGGTTCCCTCAGATGGAAGGCGCTGTGCTGAGGCCCTTGGTTATTTATCGCATAGCTGTTTATGTTGCCAGGGTTGTTCAGATAAGCCCTGAACCCAGAGCATTTTCATCGTAGGGGGAGGAAACATTTAGAAGAAATGCACGGTATTCATCTGTTCCCATGGTTGGTCACTGTTGGCCATCTACCCTTGGAATCTTAGAAGTGGAAAGAAGCTGCCATTGTTTCAGGTTCATCTCTCTACACTTTGCAAACATCTTTGATAATGATGTTCTTCCAAGCCCTGTTTTCTATTAGGCAAGAGGATGCATTGTTGCTGAAGACACATCCTCAGAGTAGGTATGAATGGACACAGTGCAATGGAGTGAAACAGTAAGGCATTCTTCAGAGGGCCACCCAAAGGTCTGTGATCATAAGACAGTCCCTCTGGGAGGCTTGGAAGTGTCGGTCTCTGCATTCTCACTGTGGATGAACCTTTGGGCTTAGGTTCCTGCTAAAGAATCCTTCCTCTTGGAAGAGTTGCTAGGCAGGGCGCTGCTCTATTAGAGGCTGGTGACTTAGGACTCTGCACTTTCCCTGTGTCTTTATTCTGCCTTCTCACACCCCAAAGCTACTATATAATCATTATGCAAAACCCCAACGTTGCAGAGTGGCTATGGAATTCAGTTCAGCCATTTGGAATTACCATTACTGTGGGTCAGATGGCCGCATCTCAGCAGCTGCAAAGGGTCCAACCTGATAGAAATGAACATCTCCGGCAATCCGATCGCTCGTAGCCACACAGCGTCATGGTTTGGCACATCTGCTGCTCAGTTTTGATTTGAAAAGCCCCTACCGGTGAGCTGACTGCGCAGAGCCTCCCGCAGTCCACACGGACAGCCCCTCGGACACAGTGTGCGAGTCCTCAACCCCCCTCCCTGAACTTGGGTCTGTACCAGTTGGACTCCCTTTGCGCCTCGTTCTGGTAATGTTTTCTCTTTATGAATCAGAAGAGCAGAAAAGACTGGCCGAGCCGGTATTCTCATCTCAGACTCGAACTTCCCAATTCTTCATCTAAAGTTAGACACAAACCAGAAAGTTCCTCTACTTGGGCTCGTTCCTGGGAGGTCGGGCAGGTCCTGACATTGAGGGTGGCGCTTATGGAACCCAAGTCCTGGCTCTTTCTCACAAGTCGGTCTTAAGATTCCCTCCATCCCCTGTCACAGGGGAGGCCGGTCTATGTGTCCTTGCAGTTCAGGTTTTGTCTTTACAGAGCCTCCGTGTTTCCAGTGGCCCCTACGTCCCTGTCTCTCCCACGGTGCGCTGCGGAAAGGGCTAGAGTACAGCTAACTGTATTTAATACTTTTCAGCCTCAAAGCAGAAAGGCTGGGCCCATCTTTCCCCCGTGTTTTCATATCTCTGCTTAAATGGCTGCTCAGTCCACCCGAGCGGGCACTCAGGCCACAGGGTTTGATCCTTACACAGACCAGTTATTTGTATCAGAGAAAAGCACCGCCTCACAGCACAGCATCCAGTGAACACAGTCTAGCTTCATTTCATTATTCACTCCACCAAAATGTTGGGCGCACACCCTGTGCCAAGCGCTGGGTTAGGGCTGGGGACCCCAGAGACAGCAGACCAGGGCTCGGAGCTGCTTCAGCAGAGCCTGGCACAAGCAGCTCGCTCATCCCACCCCCTCCCCGAGCTGAGAGCCTATGTTGCCAGTGCTTTGTCTCGCTAGTAAAGCCCTTGAATGCCTCCTTTGCCTCCTACGCCACGTTCTCCGTTTGAGTGATGTCCCAGCACCTGCCCGGACGCTCAGAGCTGCACTTGGTTGCGTCTGCTGCATTGGGGAGGGGATGCACCCTCTCACTGCGGACGTATCCAGGGCAAGAGGCTTGGCCCTGCGGCTCAGGCCTGTGGCTGCAGTAGTCCAGCCAGGCCCCTAGACCGTGGCCTTTCCAGCCCCTGACACGTCCAGCAGCTGGCTCCCTCACTCAGGCAGATTTTAAAGTGCAGACTCTCGGGGGGAGCTTCTCCACCCACCCAGGGCTCCTCCCCTTTCTCCACGGGCAACTTTGCTGACAGTTGAGACCATCCCCGGTGGTCCCCACTTGCCTCTCCTTTTCTGCTGAGCCCTCTTGCCGTTTGCCTTTGGCATGAGACCGACTTCCCCATGAGAGTGATTAATGAGGGTGGGGTCTCTCCAGGGCCTTTGTGTGGCTCGCGTCTAGTTTATAAAGACTCCTTTTGATAATCCACATGTCACTGACCACTTATTGGTCAGGCTCAAGGGACAGTGTGTGTTTGGCGTGAAACCAGATTCTCAGACGTATCACCATTTCTTTTCATGAGTTCAACCCTTGACTTAAAAAAAACAAAGCGCGCTGTTCTTACAGTGCCTTTTACGGGAGCAATAAATCATCTGCACAGCCTGCACTTAGGCGGTTCCTCACCAGGGGGCGCTGTTCACCCTTTTTTTTGCACGAGGCTCAAGTTTCCTTTCTGCAGATTATTCTGAAACTGGAAAATCCACCCGTAAGAAACACATCAGTGTGCAGTTTATTCCTTTATGTTACGCTAACTGTTGCGAAGCCCCCGTTTCCCCAAGCAGTCAGCCTTATATCCCGGAATGAGAACCAGCCAGCCTTTGGCAGAGTCCTGCGACTCAATTCTCCATTAACTACTTAGAGTTGTCCCTTCGTAGGTAAGGGCAGTTTTTTAAGGTACTTTGCACATGTTGCCCTTTGGGTGAGTAAAGCCACTGGGTGTGAATAGATACATCATCCTCAGGGTGCTTTGCTCACCCCCTCCCACCATCAAGCTTCACTACAATGTTTTCTGTCCGTCTTTTCCCTGGGAAAGCGTGACTGATGGTTTTCACCTGTGTGCTTCTTGTTCAGAAAGCCAAGCTCGGCCCCGCCGGTCACAGAGGCTACGGCCCTTCGGAAGACAGGAGACTTTCCAACAACCTGGACCGGGTGAAGCTTACCGACTTCAACTTCCTCATGGTGCTGGGGAAGGGCAGCTTCGGGAAGGTAAGGACGGGCTTTTGCACAGCATGCTGAGGTCCTCCTGTTCTTCCTGAAGTTTCCAGAGCAACCTTGTAGATTTCCCTGCTCTCTCTGTGTAGATTTCTCAGGTGCTTCCTACTTCGTGTCGTTAAAAACAACCGTATTTAGTCCATCTCACTGTTCAGAACAGAGCGGGTACTCCACGATGTTGGTTGAGTGAATAATTTTCACACCTGAAAATTAAATGTCGTCTCGTAGTGAGCGAATGGAATAGTTACGAGATCCTGAACTGGGTTGCTTCAGCCTGTGTGTCTACATTTGGCTTTTTTGGCCCCAAATCTCATCATAAATCCCAGAACTGATTTCTGTCCTGCCAGTTTCTTTGTCTTGGTTCCTGACTCTTGAGAAGCTTACAAAGGTCAGTCACGTTTTTGCCCTAAGGATGCTCCTGGAAAATGCACAGTTCAACCCTAACCCTGATCACGTGGCCTGTTCCTATTAGTAGCCGTGACAGTGCCACCATGTGGCAACAGCCCGCGCAGTGTACGAGTCCTGAAAAATGACAAGAGTGCAGGAGGCATCTAACTTGCAGTGACCTGTGGTATTTCATCATTGGCACATAAAGTGGGACTTTATGAATATTTTTGCATCACACATTTCCATATTTGCACGCACTGAACTGTCACCGACCTGGCTCCTCCCCACCCCCAGCACCCCACAAATGCCTAGATGACGTTTTCAGGTGGCTGTTCCTCTGCTCTCAGGTGATGCTGGCTGACAGGAAGGGGACAGAAGAACTCTATGCCATCAAAATCCTGAAAAAAGACGTAGTGATTCAAGATGACGACGTGGAGTGCACCATGGTGGAGAAGCGGGTCCTGGCCCTGCTCGACAAGCCCCCGTTCCTGACGCAGCTGCACTCCTGCTTCCAGACAGTGGTAAGGATCCAGGGGCTCCTAGCTGTGGCCTGGCTCACAGCAGGCTCCCGAGGGTGCCCTGAACCCAAGTGCTGTCCGACTCGACTCTACTCCCATAGAGAAGGCCGGAGACCACCCAGCCCCCGAGTCTTCTCTGCCAAGCAGAGGTGACCCTGGGGACAGCCTCTCAGCCCTGTGCCACTGGTAAATTTGCAGCATCCCCTCCCTGTGATGTGCCCTACTTAGAGACTTGGCATTCATTCCATTTAATTCAGCAAACGTTTATATCAAAGGTTTTCTTCTTGCCAGGCAATGTGCTAAGACTTAGAGACGGAAAAACAATGAAATCACTCACAGGGCTGGCTTTGTAACAAGCCAGCTCGCCAGCTGCCAAGCATTGCACAGGGACATTAGGAGACTGGGTTTATGTAAAAGAGTGTGTTCTCTTTCAATGCACACAGCAGGGGTTGGCAATCTGGCCTGTTCTGTGCAGCCCGTGAGCTCTAGGAGAAGTTCAAAAAGTAATAAAAATCCTATTTCATGGCATGTGAAAATGAGATGAAATTCAGATATCAGAGTCATAAATAGTTTTCTTGGAGCACAGCCTGGCTCAGTCACTTACCTGACATCGACGGCTGCGTTCATGCACAAAGGCAGAGTTGAGTAGTTGCAAGACACACACGAAGCCTAAACTATTGACTCTCTGGCTCTTTAAGGGAAAAGTTTGCCGAACCCTGTCACATGGTAGAGCTACGCAGAGAACAAAGAATATTCCAGAGCACGGATCAGCTAGCGGTGGGGCCAGGGCCCTGGCTTGGTGCCTGCACGTGGCCTGCAAGAAATACAAAGGCTGAGATGGCACCCCAGGGTGGCGTTCCCAAAGACGGCTGCTGTCCTTTCTAAGATACGGCTCAATAATCAGTACCTGTAATTGTTACTGTTGTGGTTATTGCTGTTTTCAACTTCCCCTTGGCCAGAAATTGACTTTCCGTTTTCTGTCTCCCTTTAAAATTCTGTTGGGAGGCTCCCCCTTCATTGCTTTTGGGTTTGAGAGTCTAAATGGCAGTGCGGCCGGGCTGTCAGACGTGGGGCTGCGGAGCCCGGCGCCGGCCACTAGGTGTCAGCCTGGAGCTGGTGGCCCTGGCGGCTCCCTGCTCCCAGGGGCGTCTGAGTAGCGCCAACCTGCTACGAAGAGAGAACCACGTCTTGAATCCCAGCCCAGATCCTGTAACCCTGGTTACACCGATTAAGCTCCAGAAAGCGACAAAGCAGAGAAATAAAGATGAAATTAAAGTTCATAACAGCAAAGCTAGAGAACGAAGCGCCCAGAGCCGTTTCCTGCCTCTTAGCGGCAGCTTCATCATTTTTTTCCCTCCCGGTGCAACACTTTAAAGTTTAATAACCTCTGTGAAACCGTGATGTTTTCTAGACCAGAGCAGAGGTCAGCTGTGACCTCGGGCTGCTGTGCTGTTAGTTGTTTCACTGTTACACCCCTTCAGTCTCCCTGTCTCTCCCAGCGTAATGTCCTCATACACATGCAGATGTAGTTGGTTCTAGGACGTGTGCCCTTCCTGGGGCCAACGCTTAGCATTCCAGTGACAGACGACATATTTGGGCATATTATGGATGTAAAAGAGCATTTGATTAGCCCCTCCACTTACTGCCCCCCCCCACACACACAGTCCATGTCCTTGAGCATTTATAATGTATAAGCCCAGCCTAACTCACAAGGTTTGTTTTCTGAAGCATCCAGTTAAACACTTTACTGCATTACTCTCGCGCGCCTCGTAGACAGTGCAAACCAGAAACACTAGTTAAAACTAAATAATTGGCCCATACGGACACCTCACGTGGCCCCTCACTTGGAACTGTGTTATGTGTGTAGGGGAAAAACGAAGACCATTTGCGGTCATTCCTGGGAACAGGGAGCACAGGTAACCAGAGGGGGCAGACGCCCTGGGGGAGCCATCATTCCAGAGTTACGTAATGACTGTGCCCCCCAAGGCCCTCGTGCGGTGGGGCCCATTACTTATTCTGGGCTTGGGAAAAGACATGTCAAAGGGCAGCCCTGAGCAGATCTGTCAGTGTGAACCCCCCCCACACACACACTCCACTAACGAGAAAGCCAAGCCCAGTCTGGAAAGACCGGGGGACGCCGCCCCGCCTNAAGACGGGGGACGCCGCCCCGCCTGGGGACACGCTCAGCTCACCTGTCACACCTTGGCCTCCAGGACCGGCTGTACTTCGTCATGGAATACGTCAACGGCGGGGACCTCATGTACCACATTCAGCAAGTAGGAAAGTTTAAGGAGCCACAAGCAGTGTGAGTATTTTGTGTATGCCCCTTAATTTAGACACACGGCAGCCCCGGCTGGGAACTTCCGCTGGGTGAAAAATGCGGGGGGGGGGG